GCCTCCCAACAGCAAGAATTTGGATATTATTCTGCTCTAACTCTATTTTACACGCAGAAAGTGAGTATAGGTTACCAGCTCAGACCACCTCAGTGTGCACTTACTCCCTCGCGTGGTCATGTAGAGCAGGTTGTTTTGATCGTACGATTCGTGGTCTATCCCAAAGAATACGATAACACCTCCCGCCATAGTTCAGAAACGTCAAAATCAGGAGCATTAGCAGCGTCCTTCTCGCGCATTTTGTCGATTCCGGACATCCTGTGACTTCAACGATTCCTTCCGTGTAATATTTAAGGTCCCATCGAACTACCCTAGGCTACTGGGCCAGCGTTTGCAGAAGCAGAAGCGACTGTCATCAGGTTATGCAACGTGGTCTTGCGCACACAGAATAGACCCGTCCAAGTTCCGCGTTTACCGAGGCCAAAGGTCAGTCCGTTGGCATTCGCTTCTTCGCGCTGCTACGGTTCTTCCTAAACCTCACTACCTCCTGGTTCACTGTAATTTATTACCCTCCCTCCATAGTCCAAAACCTCACTCGTGTGAAAAACGGACTTTTATTTACTTTTCTTGCCAGTCACATGTTCTACACCATCCCCTTCCCATACAAATAATCTGGCCCGATGAAAAGTTGTCAATAAAACGAATGCCGGTCAAATAGTCATCTGTCTCACCTCAGTCTCTATTAAAAATCTGTATTAATGATGAGTAGGGGTCTCTTGTGTGCAAACCACCATATGAATCCTGATGGGGCCTGTGTGGGAGTAACCTCGCGGTCTTTGAATGACTTTACTCCTCCCTGGCTGTTACACGACTAGCAGACTGCATTTGTTAACTGACTTCAAAAGCTGCCTGCAGAAATCATTCAGTGGGCGGTGGTAAAGTGGTATGAGAGAAGAGCTACATAAATTATACAGAAAGGCTATTCTGTCTAATTTCAGTAATAGCTGTGTTGGGGGATCATTTTTGCGTGTCATGATAACCTCCCCTAATCACTGTTCTGAGTCGATAGAAATGATTATTCCAAGGTCCGCGTCAAAATTAACCAACAGTACGATCTTATCGCCGGACAGGACGAAACGTTTGCCACACAGGCTTCGTTGAGGGTTACCTACGAGTCTAATGCTGTATGTTATTACAGTTAAAGACAAGGGAGACTGGAATGGCCACTTCTGGCATATTAAGCGTCGTCAGCCAGTCATACTCAACCCCGAAGTGTGGAACACCCGAGGCTCAAAATCGCGACCTGTTAGTTAGAAGTTCACGCCTCTAACCGCCGGGCCACGAGTCCGTTGCCCTGTCGCTTTCGATCGGGAATATACAATGGTAGGGGGCGCCACCGATCGTTCATACGGAACTCACTCGTTCCGTTGTGCCTTAAGGGCTCTCTCACAAGCCCAACCAGCAGTCGTACAGTGGCGCATGGTATAGGCAGTACGTTATTACCGACAAAGACAAGGGAGACTGGAATGGCTATTTCTGGTTTATTAGCCGTCTACCATTGTATATTCCCGATCGAAACCGACAGGGCAACGGACACTTGGCCCAGTGGTTAGAGGCGTGGACTTTTAACTAGAAGGTCGCGAGTTCGAGCCTCGGGTGTTCCACACTTCGGGGTTAGGTATGACTGGCTTACGACGGCTAATAAGCCAGAAATGGCCATTCCAGTCTCCTTTGTCTTTAACGGTAATAACGTTTTGCCTATATCATGCGCCGCTGTGAGGCTGATGGTTGGGCTTGAGAGAGAGAGCCCGTAATGCACAACGGAACGAGTGAGTTTCGTAAGAACGATCTGTGAGCGCCCCCCACCAGAGTATAACGTTGTTGTGCATTAAACTGGATACAACTTGATCAAAGGAGATCGTTCTGAAAAGACGCCTTGAGACGAGCTTTAGTTAAAACGCTTGCTCCTTTAATGGTCTTTACAGTTTACCGGTTTATACACGTATAAGGTGATGGAAATCCCAGGAAACATAATTTTAAGGCAAGTAAATTTTTTGGGCAAGTCAAAAAGTTTTATTTTGTGGATTTACAACGCTGGTTTCACTGACCGTTGTCAGCCGTGCAGCAAATGCGCAAGACAGTAAAATTTCTAATCATGCTTGAAAGATCAACCCTGCCCTGTCATTCCTGCAGGTAAGCTATCATTACGTGCTGTTATCCCATTCCGGTTGGCTGCCGCCTTTTCCACTTGTCCTTACGATTATTGTACACGGCGTCTAATTCGGTGTCGATTAATGCACGAATCATTGAATGGCATGGACTATACTACGCACACAGACCGTACACCCTAAGGATGGGATCGGTTATTTATGCAAGAAGTTGTCTACAAAATTCATTGTGACACCTACGGTGCAGTATATTGTGGTCAAACTGGAAAATTGGCCTCTGCACACACGCGTGAGCATAAGTTGACAGTAAAGAGGCGAGAATAGCTGCTTCGAGTCGATGTGTCGTTGCGATCGTGCTGCGAAACATGCCTGTTCCGTCGTACTTTGGCGCAAAGCCATGGAAGACTGTGATGAGCATTTCTGGTTTACCTGCCGTCATTAGCCAGCCATACCTTATCCCAGGGTTAAGGACATCTGAGGATTGAACCCACGTTCTTTTTGTTATTAGGTGTTAGTAAGTCCAACCCCCTAACCACTCAGGCCCGAAGTCGCTGCTGTGTCAGTTGTGACCGGGATAACTAACTATTTTGTAAGTGTGTTCACCGGTCAGGTTACTGGACAAGCTAGTCCCGTCGAACCTTGGAACTCATTATAGGACCTTCGCGGGTAGTCACATAGAGACGAGTAACTTAGCAGAGGGAGGAATATCGGCTGAGGCAAGAGAGACTGGGATGGCGATTCTTGGCCTATTAACCGTTGTCAACCAGCCGTACCAAAACCCAGGTTTACAGGTACAGCTTATTCAATAAAGGTACACAGAGGTGATCCAGAGCCTCGGCTTACACTCGCCTCCGATAGACAAGAGGCGAAAACTTATAAGACATTCCCGCTTGAGGGATCGGATACGTCCTAGTAATCTGTCAAAAAACTGAGCCTAAATAATCAGGTTAGAGGCTTCTTCCTTTCTCGATATTCCAGTTAATACATTCTTGTTTTCGCGTGCGAGTTTTCCACTCCTCAGCGGACATTATTTTATTCTGTCGATGTTGTTCTACCCTTCAGTTCTCCTACTTAAGTAGTGATTTCCAATGGACATGGCGCAGGCGAGTGTCGGGAGACTTCGAGCCCAATAAAATTCTCTGCATCCGTCTGTTGGGTTTGCATTATATTGTTTTGCACTTTCTGCATGTTTTCTGGGCTTATTGTGATTCCCGAATTGCGTGTTACGAATAAGGCATAACTGCCGTCGCCTTTTAGTTTCTAGTTATTCTTTATTATTAAAAATGCCAGTATGACACGAAAGCATCTTCTGATCGAAAATGAGGCCTGATCACTGCGGCAAAGCACGTTTTTCATATCCAGATCTTGAACTTCTTTCTTCAGCTCGCGGGCAGGAAACTTTGAACATTTATATGCTCCTGGTGATTCCCACGACACGCCTCATTTAATTGACTAGCCACAACCCATACATCAGTTACGTTCGGCGCCCAGCGAGTATCACACCATTCACCCTTCGTCCCCAGACCTCAGATGCGCTACGAGAGTGATCTAAGTGATTTTCCATCCCATTCGCCATATCATACATGTACATGTAATTATAAAGGATCGTCAGAAGCTATCACACGGTTACTTGCTCCCATAAAAACACAAATGGGGATCTTTGTAAGCCATGTCCCAGGAAAAAGGGCCACCGCCCAGTAGGCAAGGATAGGTACTCCAGAAAAAAACTGATCAAAAGTTGTCTGGTCGCGGGTTTCGTTGACCAAAATGTCAAACTCCCGAGAGGAAAGTTGATCTCCCGCCTCCAGATGTCCTCCCTGGAAATCTGCTTTTGCATTAATGCGTCTAATATTCCCACTAGGTCATGTGCGCAGTCGTAAAATAAACTCGCCAGGTCCTGGGGCGCGCAACAGGTGGCTGATTCTATATGAAAATCATAGCTCAATCAGACAAATGAAGCGCCTACGCTTTTTTACATATGCGCTCGACGAAAACTACTCACACGTAGCTAGGACACTATATTAGAGACTGCGAACGTGAGAAAGATCCGAGTGCTCGGCGTGATTGTGCGCCGAAGGATTGGGCGGTAGACGTCAACTACGTGGGACGAAAGCGAGCCCCGGCGAATGCTTGTGCCGGTTTCATGTCAATCCTGGATGTGACGCCAGTTATCCCCAATACCGTTAGGCAGGGTAGACTCCTAACTCTTCCACACTAAATGCACCCACATGTACGACTGTCTCCTCCCGTCTGCCCGTCTCCCGATTACCCTAATTTTGAGCAAGCAGATGTCGACGTGTTGTTTGGTTCAGGAATTCCGCTGTGAAGATCTTCCACCAGGCTATACTCACTCAGGTCAGGAATAAAAAGTTACAGAGATCCTTCCGGTGAAAACTTGCCCCTTGAACGCGAAACTGTAGGCCTGTTCCCTTGACGAAATCCCAGGTCTTCTGAAGTGTTTGTCTGATTTGATAATCATACGAATCTTCGCCCTAGCTGCCTGCAAACTCCGGAACAAATGTGCGCCTTCTGGATGGTTATTAGGAGAGTCCGTCGGTCAGGCAGGGTTTGATGACTAGATACATGTGTTGTCGAGATTCTATCGTGAATTATAAACTACGACTCGGCAAGCTCATAATAAGAAAAGAATTGTCTTGCCTTAAATTTCCATTATATCTTATTGCCTCATTAGCTTCCATAAACGCGAGTGCTTTGAACAATTATTTACACAACAACGGAGTATTAACGGACCTAAATCTGTTTTAAAAAGATAGTTCGCAATTTACAGACAAATGGAGAGATGTCCGTGTTAAAAAGGCTCAAAAAGAGATCTGTTCAATACATATCAGTAGATACATAGTGGTACATACATAGGACGTACAAAATATACTCTCAAAAATTTTGGGTATTGTATGAATAGATTGCATTTATAAGGTCGGGTAAGTCTCTGGCTAGATCAAAAGCTGCAGGCAGCTGTAACTGAGGAAGGAGCAGCTGAAGTACAGTAAAAATTCGTCGCCGCAAAATTTCCACACAGTGCCCAGGTTCAGGACACAAGGATACAAGGGGCAATCGGATCGACTGATCGGGCTGCCTTTTGATCCTGCCTGAGCTAGTAAGTTCGCTGATTATCCTCAAAAGTAGTCGGTCTAAATCGGCCGAGGTGGGATCGAAGGCCTCACTCAAATCGATGTTCGGGACTAGGTGTTTGAGGAGAGTGAAAAACTGCCGCCGGAGGACCGTCAGTTCATCATGGGCCGCCAGGTGACGCGAAATGAACTCCGCCTGTTCGTGCTGGTCAAGAGCATCCATCCAGGACTCTAATCGGGAGGCAAGTTCTTGAAGGACGCCAGACGCTATGGTTGAGAGACTTTGTTCATAGAGTGGGCTGTGGAAGAAGGGAGGCAAATTTTCGAGGAGTTGCGAGTTCATACAGCTAAGATTTACAGGGTACGAGACAGAAAGTGTGTCAACGAAGTCAAACAGATAGACTTCAGTTGGTTCGTTCGAGCGAGAAGGGTTGCGTTGGATACCAAACTGGTAAAACTCATCCACCGTTACGACCGTACCCTGAATGTCCACGTACTCGCGATTTACAACTGGCTTTGAAGCCTCTTCTCGACGCGATAAATGAGCATAGCCGTTTTCCTGTAGAATAATTTTTTTCCTGGAAAAGCAAGTTACCTTGGAAACGGGTAGCGGTGTGTTGTCAATCGAGTAGTGGTTTTGAAGAAAGCGTTCTAAGTTTTCTTGCCGATAATTCGTTTTTGGTGGGGGTACTTCTGAATACCTGGTATTATAGATGGCAAGAATGACCTACCTGACTGCTTGGTAACCTTTCGCGCAGTCATCGTAACATCCTTCCACAGTCAAATCCTGCGAATCACAAGGAAAGTCACAAGTGAGTGACAAAATAGGGGGTGCCACAAAAAATACTTTTGCGATAAGTAAGTCATCGCAGCAACCCAGTCGAAAACGGTTGTTGCCCGACGTCAACAAGTACTGATCTCAATAAGGAAATCGAGGAACTGTTTGCTAGAACTCTCACATACAGAACATGATACGTTGGATTTACAGAGATTTTGCAGTTCCACAGCTGGAAGTTGCACATCGTCGGACTCATAAGTCGGAGGTTTCAAGTCTATTACTTATGTATCCCACAAAAAAAGAAATAGGCTTGCAAACTGCCATCCATCTGCGGCTTCCGGAATTTGCTGTCAGAGCAATTTTGGTTAGGGAAGATGGTTAAGAACTAGTTCTAACACTGTTTCCCTGCTAGTTTTACTTATATTATTCGCCTTTCATCTGCTAATGCGAAAAAAATGTATAGTCCGGAGTAATTATTAAAGGGCTTAGAAAACAGCTCTAGCACCAGGCTTGACAGAAGAAGCAAAGCATTGATGGAGGGCAGCTGATCATGATGTTGGTTAAAATCGGCGTGAGCTGTACTTAAAAACACGGCCCATTGCATAAAAAACTGTAAAGCGAGCGACCAGCTTTCAGGAATTCACATAATGACATCCGTTAGGGCTCGCGTCTCAAGAAATTCAAAACGCCCACAATCACAGATAACTATGCATGGGGGCCAAATTGATTCTCAATAAACGATCGAGACTTATGGACCAAAGAAACTGGAAATCAGTCATATGTTATGCTGCGCATCTTGCGCGGCTTTAACTTCTAAGCCTCCATAAACCTAAAGTATTAAATGGTGATGAACAAGAAGTTCGTCTATATGAACGCGAGAGAAATAGTCCGCGACCTTTTATGCTGAATGGCAATATTCGCTTGGAGTTGCAAAGACATTTGGAGATATAAAAAAACTCGAAAGAAAGAAATGAATAAGTAGGTAAGCGAAGATAAGGGCAAAAATATGAAATCGATAAGAAGGATCACAGAACAGTCAGATTCTGCAATCAATAGCAGTTCGCGGATCCAGGTTCTCAGTTAGGAAAGTAGCATCGGTTATAAACCATGACAGATGAGGCCGTCTTAAGATATACGTTAGGCTCAATTGTTTGCTTACGAATCAGGTGTTAAATCTGCCTTCAACAACATATATAAGACGGTGCACCGTAGTCAAGAGAGGTCACGTCATTTAGCAATTTCGTCCAAAATTGTGAACTTTACATAGGAAATTACGACAGTATGATCTTCAGTGTGTTAGATATTTATACACTCAAAAGTATATAAAAAGACAGCATGAACTGGTCAGCCTGGGAAGTACGTTGACGGGTTTTTTAAACGGCAGTTCGCGAATGAAGTGTCTGCAGACTGAGGTTCGCACACACCTGTAGCTGCTAGAGGAGCATTACCAGTTCGGTGTATTGTAATAAATAAAGATAAAATAACACAAAAGGCGGATGAACCCTAACCCAAACCCGAACAACGGATGTGAAGTAACTACTTAAAAGTTTAAGTTTTGAGACGTCTCAAGCAATTTATTGTCAGGAGTGACTCAAACCCGATAAACCAAACGGACCACATTTTGGTCATCCATGTAAAGAATAGTAATAGTAAGAAAGGAATAAATACTACAGTGCTCAACGTATACGAGCATAACAAAACGACACAAGAAAGGGTCGCGGACAGTTTTGGCAGCTAGCCGGAAAAATCAACCAATGACATTTGGATGGCAAAGTCGAGGCTGTTCAAATAGGTCCAAGATAGGTAATTCGTCGTAATTGGAGAAGTCTTTGCCCATAGCGGGATCGAGCCCCAGGTGTTCAACATTTCGAGTTTGGGTACAACTGGGCGACGACGGCAAATGAGCCACAAATGACCATTCCAGTCTCCGTTATCTTTATCGGCAATGCCATTTCGCCCAAAACCGACTTCTTCATATAACAGCGAACAATCTTCGTAAACAGTCCCCTCACTGGATAAAACCCAAACTTGCTTCCTATGAGGACTTGGTATAAACCTCAGTGTAAATTAATCGGGGAAAGGAGGGAAGTGACTGGAAATCGAAAGATTTTAGGAGGTGCGGTTTTCATTTAAATCAACGCAACAAATAAAAGTAGAACTCGAAACTACGATTTTTTATGCCCACCAGAGCTCCTCTCCTATAGGTAAGGCGCATGTGCGCTGTAATCCATTCCGACGAGACTCCGAATAGTTCAAATTGCAAATGGAAAGTGCTTAACGGATCCACTCTCGCGGTCGTCAGGCCGGTAGCTTGAACATGCCACCTTCAGTAATCCACACACCGCCCTCCCATCGGTTATCTGAGTCGTGTGTGTTTTGACAACGACTTAGTGTAACGTCCCCTGAGCTGGGCATGGTTGTATGAATGCCGTGACACTTTTTGGCGCGCGGACCTAGGATGGAGATGGCATAGCCGCATATTGGTGAAGATGGCCGGTGTCCCTTCCACTCTCTTCCGCCGATCCCCTCTCCCGCTCCGTATCGTATCGTAACGTTCGTACCGTTGCCCTCACTACATCGGCAACTCCCCCGGCCCTTCCCTGCAGTTGCCCCCAGCGCTGCGCTCCCCACCGGTTGTCCAGCTGGCATGTTGGACTCGCCTCTCCACCCAGACAGGTCACTCGACTGTTGTAACTCATCTCACCTCTGCTAGTCGTAGCAGGCCATCAGCCGGCGAAATAATCGATCAGCTGATTTATGGAGACATAAACAGCACTTCTGAAAAAGTGCTTGAACAAACTTTTAAACTTATTGGGGTAATAAGTTCGGAAACTGAGGAACGAATTAAACGCAAGCATAATTTCGTACTGCGAAACATTCCGAGCCACTTATCTGCTATGGAGGGAGCGCATGTGTTCCTACAAAGTTGTGGCTTGAGTTTTAGTGTCGCACAAGCTAAGCGACTTCGCTCGCTTAGTCGTAATGCGCCGATACTAGTTACCCTTTTCTCCATGATAGAAGTCGATTTTATCTTGTCGAGTAGGGAGATGATTAGAGACTTCTGCCGTAAATGGCGCTGCTCCGTTTCGCCAGACCTCACACCCCTGCAGCGAAGACTGAATAAACTGAAATCGGCAAAAACCAACACCAAGATAATGACACCTACTGTCAGTCTGAATATGTCCTCTACAACACCACCTGCGGCATCTGCAAGTCACGGCATAGTCAATTCCGTAGGGAGTTCGACTACTTTTAATGCTGACCTCTTTAAACACACCACCACGCCTGGTATAAGCACGCCTCTATCGACTCCCTCAGCAACCCCTAGTAAGCCTAAGCATGTGACTAAGTCAAAGGCAAATCCAATTGCTGTCACAGCCACTCGGACACCCAATAAATCCAGCACCAGTATAAAATGTTTTCCTCCACAATCGGCGAACAGTGCCTCAAATACCCCGACTCAAAACGTAGCGGGTTCGCAACTGCCCCCCAGCCCTCATATCAAGGCATTTAGGCCGAATATGCCGATTTTCCCACCGTTTAATAGACCTCTTGTTCCAATGGAAACATTGCGTCCCCCACCCCCTAACTTGTTTCCTCCACGGCCGTTTTACCAATTTATTCCTCATGATAATGTCCAGACTGAATCAGTTAGTTCATCCGATCCTCAGTTTCGTCCCGGCGGGAATACGTTGCAGTATCTTCCCCGTGGATTTCCAGCTGAAAATAAGTTAGCTAACAATAGTTACCAGTTTATCTGCCCGTCATTCCCTCCCCCAAGTCCTACCCCTCTTTATCCACGTCAGAATTTTTTGATGCCACAAAATTTTTGGCAGAACCGGATGGTTGCATCCGGACCGTTTGCTCCGTGGGCGACCCAGAACTGGACGATGTAGCCCACCTCCCTCAAAAACTAACAGCCTTTCCCTTCAAACTTTTTGTTTTAAATGCCAGATCCTTGCTTAATAAGATGCCTTTGCTTCAGACTCAGGTTTTCGTACATTGTCCTGATATTGTTTTAGTAACTGAGACGTGGGCATCAGCCTCAGTAGCTGACTCCGAACTCTCTCTTCTAGGCTACAATTGCATTCGAAATGATCGCCAAGATAGCCGTGGTGGGGGCAGCTGCGTCTACGTTAAGCAAACACTTACATGTTTGCCGTTGGACTTCCCGCACTTTTCAGCGGTAGAAGGCAGCTGCTGGCTCCAGGTTGCACTAAAAAATAAGTTCTCCTTACTCGTTGGCTGCGTCTATCGCCCTCCCAACGCCAATGACAATTTTGATCGCTTACTCTCACAGGCATTTCATGCTGCGGCCGACTTAAGCTTTAAGTATCAA